CGTTCTGAAATGCTCTGCCAAGCGCCAAGGGCAGGAGCATGACGTCCTGCACACAAGTCCTGAGAGCCGCCACCTCGGCCACCTGCTGCTCGCTTGGGGCTGTGGGTCCAGGCCACGGAGGATGCTTTGAGGATGCTTCTCCCACGCAGAGCCCGGCGCGCATCTCTGACACTGTCCTTGCGAGGAGTCACCACACAGGGGTCCTGCACTTGGGGCTGGTCCATGGAAGGGCTGCAGACGTACCCCGCCTGCCCCGGGGATTAACTCCATCCTACACCCTCCATGAGCCCAGCTGCGGGCCCAGGAGGGGACTCGTCTTCAAACCGCTCCCCTGCCCCCCTGCACCCTCCGGCCCCCACACATGACAGTAGGGGGCGCTGGCAGCAGTGGGACCCTCACCAACTTGGGAAATGTGAGGATCACCTCCAGAGATGCCAAAACACCCACAACAAAGCAAGAAAAACCACCACGGGCTCCTACTTAGTATGTTTTTAAACATCCTGGCTGCTCAACAGCCAGGACTCAAGCAAGAGGGGCCAGTGGTGGGGGAACATCCCCCAGTCCCCTCCGGAGTGGGGCCCCCACGGCTCCAGCCCCCAGCATGCACTCACCCTGGATGCTGAGCATCTGGCCCAGCTTGAGTGCTGCCCCGCGCACCTTGCACAGCGTTCGCACTATGCGCTCCGCGTTCGCCTCCGACAGGAAGGGGCTGGAATCCAGCACGGCCTTCTTCCCTGTGGGCAGGAGCTGGGTCAGCATGTGCCCACCCATCGCCTCCCGGGGTGTCTGCAGGCCTCACCCGACCCGGCCACATGGGGCAGCCGCAGCTTGTCTCATCACTCGGCCCAGCGCACCAGGGAGCCTGAGTGCATCCCAGGCCATCAGCCCCAGGCTCCAGCGTCATAAAAACCGGGACAATACAGAACTTAGGGGTATGGGGGATTTTCAAGTGCAGCGTGAAGAAACAGGAGCGCTCACACTGGCACCAGCCTCCTGAGGCCCCTAAAACCAGCAATGCAACTTACACTCCATGCCACATACCCACCTGCCTGATGCTGTGGAAGGCCCTTCAGGACCACCCAGCTCTCCCAGGCCTGACTTTAGCAGCCCCCCAACACACGCACGTGCACACATTTACACACGCAGAGCCCCTCCCTCCGTATCCGTCCCTGGGGCCTGATGGGGACAGCACAGAAGGCCATAGCGGCACGTAGGGGGCGGGCACCAGGAGGGAGGGACCCATGTGAGGACTCCGTTACTGTCCCTCCCACCCACATACGGGACAAAGGTCACCTGTACCCCTGAGGTCACTACAAGGCAAGCTGGCACAGGAGAGGGCCGTCCTCCGGGGAGGAGAGCACAGGGTCAAGGACAGCACTCAGCCGGCTGCTGTCTGCCTCCCCGTCTGCCCACAGAGGCCCCCGAGGTACAGTAACCTCATGGGTGCAGATGACCTTTGTCCAATACGACCAGGGGTGGTAGGCTGCAGAGGTGAGGACATGGGAGGGCTGCTACCGCGTGGCCACAAGGACGTCAGGACCCGCTCTGGCGTCTGCCCCCTCATCCCAACCCCAGCACAGCCTGGCCCCAGGAACAAGTCCACCCTGGTCGGGACCCACCCCCCCCGCTCTTCCAGCCCTGGGACACCCACTGCTTTCCCTGCGCTCTGTCCTTTGAGCCTGGTTAGATCTCTGCCCACAGCTATCCCCACAGTGCATGCACTCGGAGTGGGGGAGCTGCAACCTCCAGGAAGGAACTCTGCCCCAGGGTCTGCGTCCAGCCTGGCCTCTGACAGATGGGGGGTGGGGGGGACATGGGGACTAAGCCCCAGGGACATTCAGTTTGCAGACGAGAAGCCCCCGAGAGCACCCGCGGATCTTCTGCCCCCCCGAGGGCAGCTGTGTGAGGCCGGACCCGCCCTTGGGAGCTGGGCCGAGAAGGGGCCCCACATTACCCCCTTGCCCTGAGCCAGAGCTCAGAGAATGGGGGCCCCTCTGTGTGCACTGCCCCCCCCCCAAACCCTGGGCCCCAGTGGAAAGGCAGGGAGGAGAAGGGAGGCTGAGGAGGAGGCAGATCTGCGCTTCCCCCACACACAGCCCTGGGCTGCCTGCAGCACTCCTGAGATTTGGGGACCCGGCCCTCTCGGGCATTCCAAGCAGCCCCTCCCCACAGCCCAGAAGTATGTGCTCCTGCCTGGGCATGGCCAGTTCTGAGAGCCGCCTGGGGGGAGCTGGGCCATGGTGGGCAGGCCTCCCACTCAGGAGCAGCTCTGCTGGGGCCGACCGGGCCGGGCTGGTCAGCATCCTCCAGGCCATGGGTTCCAGAGCCCACTCAGAGCTGGAACGCAGCCTAGGGGCTGCCCAGGGCCCCCAACCCCGGCTCTCAGGCCATGGTCCCTAGGCCCCTTGACCCCCAGCCAGGGTCACCACTTCCCTGATGAAGGTCACCACCTGTAACCTTGGAGCCAGTCCTGCCTCTTCTCTGCTTGGCTGAGGTGCCCGAAGAGCAGCCAGTTTCCAGGGACAGAGGGGGGGTGCGGAGAACACCGGCTTCTCATTCCAGAGAAAGCCAGGCTTCGTTTTCAAAGTGTCTCAGCACCAACACTAAAAATACCCTCACTAAACCCTCTCTGTCCTCAGGCCCCTTCCAAGGACACTCAGTGTGCCCCAGGAACCCTGTTCTCTGGCCTGTGGGGACACGCCACTGTCCTTTCTCCATGAGGCCCCTCGTCCCCACAGGAGGGTCTTGAGGGGAAGAGGGGCCATCCAGGTGTGTGGCAGGCTCCCCTCAGGGCCCCCAGCTGGGGCTTCGGGGGTCACAGTGCAACAGCACAGTGGGGTGTCCCTGGGTGTACCCCCAGAAAGGAGTTGATGTTCCCTGAATGGGCCAGGGGGCACCTAACCCAGATCTTCAAATACATTTGGAGAAATCCACCGAGCAGAGGGCTCTCCCAGCGCTGTTCTCGGGACTCCAGGGAAGGGAAAGCCCCCTACACCCCGAGCTGCCCTGACCCAACATCACGGCATCATGAGCACCACAAAATTCAGAGCAGCCAGTCTGCCAAACTTTCTCCATGGAGTCCCACCCTGACCTGGCCACCAGGACTAGGGAGGGCTGACGGTGGTGACCTGACCTCATGGCCCCTGGGAGGCAGGGGACAAAGGAGTCAGGGTGCTCACCTCAGAGACAGAGGGCAGGTCTCGGAGGTGGGGACACCAAGGGCCCTGAGGGGTCTGGTCCAGCAGCACGGACACCCCTCACCCGCTGCTCCATGGGGGAGCTCTGGGCTCCAACAGCCCCACATAGCAAGGCAGACGCAGGGCCAAAAGTGAATCAGAAGCGGGCAGGTGTGCCGGCCACCGGGGGAGCCGGGAAGGGCTGGGCAGGCCAGCTAGGGCAGCCTTCGGGCCGCAGACGACTCCGGGGCGCCATTTATGTGGAACACAGGACAGGAGACGGCCCCTGGAGGCCCACACTTCAGGAACATGGAGGGGCTGGGGGCCAAGCGGCCCACCTCCCAGGGCCCAGCTCACCTGAAGGGTCATCTGGGCGGAGGCTCTTCTTGGCTACCTCAGCCAGTGCCCCAAAGCCTAGACCCACGGCCAGACCTGCAAGGAGGAGAAGGAGTGCTGGGTGCTGGTGTGGGGACTACCTACCACCCCTCCATCCGTGAGGCCCAGAGCAGCCTCACAAGGTCACCCACCGCAGCTCCCCAGGGACACTTGCTGACAGTCTAGACGTTCTGAGAAGGGGGAAGAGAGAGAGGAAGGACACACGTGCTGTTTTCAGAGGTGTGGCGCCATCCGTGGAAAAGCTTCCCCCACCCCCCTTGCTCGCAGGGCACGCGAAGGCCCTAAGAATGCGCATGCATGGGACACGGTTTCCCAGCACAAACAGAACACGGAGCAGCAACGGTCCATGGGCCGAGGACATCCTGACCCCACGGGGCACCCCCTGGAACGCAGCCACCCCCTTCAGCGTGAAGAGCTCCAACTCTAGAATTCTCTGACTCCACTGCCCCGAGAAGGAAAGGCGTCAGTACAGTGATAGAAAGGAGTCGCTGGTGGGAGTCAGAACAGTCTGCGAAGGCAAAGCCATGGAGACTCGCTGCCCACCAGAGCCTGCAGGGTGCGGACAGTGGTCTGAGGACAACGGGGGCGGCAGTCAATTTCTCATCTAAAAACTGTGTTTCACAATCTTCAAAATCAAAGTTCATCAATACCTCTTTTGTCCAGAGGCCAGAAATGCCCGACCCCAGCTGTCCAGGAGAGGCCCACAGAGCACAGCAGGTGCCACTGGGATCACAGAGAAAGCCCAGGGGTCCGGTCAGGACCCGCTGCCTCTACTTGAGGCATGATTCTCGCTGGCATGGGGGCACCCGTTAGCAGAGAGTGGAGGACACGTGCGTGAGCGCACCGGCCACGGGAGAAGGGACAGCAGGGGCCCACAGAAGACGCCGAAGACGCCAATGCCTGTGGGGCCGGGAGGCGGGTGGCACATGCAGCCCCCACGCCCAGAGGCGTGAGCTCCGCCTGGCGCACTGTTTAACGGGCGAGGAATCCAGCATGTGCTTCTGTATTTTTCCCAGTTTTGCACTGTTATGAATAATACTGTTGAATTTATTCAAAATTTTATTTAGCAAAAAATAATAGCCAACAAATAATAGAACAATAATTTTAAAACCCAAAGAAGGTTTTAACCCAACCTTACAACGTGCTTTTGCAATGCATCTTAGCCACCATCAAGCAAGGGTGCAGTGTGTGCGTCACCAGCCCCATAGGTCACGGCGAGGCCTCAGCGGCCGACTGAGAGTGAGAGCTCCCAGCGGGGCAGGCAGCGCTCCGGCGCTTGCTGCGGACCGTCACTGCTCCCATTCAACGTGGTGACAGCAGTGCTGCCTAGAGAAAGCACCAGGCCAGCCACGTGCAGAAGGGTAAATTTTCTAGTAGCCACAGTAAAAAAAAAAAAAAAAAAAAAAAGGCAAAAAGAAGCATGCGAAGTGAATGCGCATCGTGTATTTTATTTAACATAATACATCCAAAATATTACTAAGTCCTCTTGTGTGTAAAAATCATCAGAGGTATTTCACGGTTTTGTTTTGGTTTTGTACAGAGTCTTCAAAATCCAGCGTGTATGCGCACTGAGCATGGCCTGGTTTGGCCCGGCCATGCTCCAAGCACTCACGCATACAAGCAGCGCAGGGCAGGATGAGCCGAGCTCTGGAAGCCATAGGAAGAAGCCAGGCACCTGAAAGGGCCCTCAGGTCCACCAAGGCCATCTGGCAACCGGGCCTGTTTTAGCTCTGACCAGCTCCAGAGGGCACTGGGCACGGAGCTGAGATAGCTAAGAGCAGCCGCGCCAATTAAACATTAACTCCCTGCTGCCGGCCCACCCCGCCCCACCCAGCACAGTATCTGCCTTTGCAAAGTAAGTGATAACAAGTAAGGTTAACCTTCAAACTACAATGACCCTCACCAAGGTCTCTCTGCATCTGCCTGCATCAAGTCCAAAGACAAGCCTCGGGTTAACCAGCCTAGCCACCGCGAGCAGAGGTGGCCCCCCAGCTCCCCTGCCTGTCGTCGTCCCCCTCAGAAGTTCTGTCACACCCTTCCCTGGCCATTTCTAGGCTGCCGGGCAGGGCCAAAGCTCTCCAAGGGCAAGGACTTGTCATTAGATCACCAAAAGACGTTACACAAAGACCGCCTTAGGCTCCTTCGGTGGCCTGCGAGCTCCCAGGGAGCTGGAGGTGCAGCAGCCAACGGGCTCCCCACTGCGGCCAGCCCAGCTGCCCTGACCTTGACCTCAGGAGCTCCCGCTCTAGTGAACCAAGAATAAATCAGCCCTCCCCCACCCAGCGAGCTTCCAGCCATTCTCAGAGCCTTGTCGAGAGGAAAGCACAAGGCCCAGCCAGGCTCTTCCTCTCCCAGAACCAGGTGGTACTGGAGGCTTGTGCTCAGACTTCCCAAGGCCTGGTGGGGACGCCCGGAGCCCCACTTGCTCACTCCACGTGTGACCCATTTTCTTCGGCCCCACCTCAGTCCTCCCAGTGCTCAGGGCGCTGGGAGCCATCATCAGCTCGGCCCACACGGCCGGCCAGCAAGTCCTGGCAGACAACCAACCGTCCACAGAGCCAGCTCTGCGGCCCCGGGGCAGCAGTCGGCAGCCTGGCCTCCATCCTGGCCTGCGAGGAGGTGCCGGCCCCTGCCAGGAAGGTAGCCTTTCTCTCAAGAACAGAGCTTTTGCAGTCAAGAAATGGAGGGGAAGCAGGAGGGTTCTCCCCAGAGAGAGGAGAGCCCTGGGCCAGCTTCCCAGGCCCCCAGCTCAGCCTCTCCTCCCTGCAGTCCCCCTGGAGGTTATCGGAGCCCAACAAGGCCGCCCTGGAGCACCCTGGGCTTTGGCCCAGACAGACAGCAGAGGCTGAGAAAAGGAAAAACAAAACACCTTCCAACAAACAGTGCCGTCGGGAAGGAGGCTTGGTGAAAGGTGCCCTGGGTGGGAAGACGTAGCTGTACCTGCCAGAAACCCCGGGCTGTTTACAGAGCAAGGCTCACGGGGGCTTCTGTGCCACAGCCCCAGAGATTTCTATGGACTACACACTGTGTGCCAGGCACCGTTCTGGGCCCGCGCTGTCATAACACATCTTCTAAGCCACAGGACACACAAAGGGGTGGGGGGCAAGGACCCTGCCTTTGCAGCAAACTGTTCCTGAATCTTGGCCCCAGGGGACAGCACGGGGCATCAGGAAAGAGGGGTGCAGAGTCCCCTGGACGGCGTGGCCCCAGGCTGTCAGGAGCCGCCCCCTCCCCCATGCCCAGCAAGGAACCCTGCTGCAGTCTCGGACTCGGCTCAGGTCCCTGCGCAGTCACAAGCAAGCGCACGGCCGTGGGCCACTGAGACACGAGTCACCTGAACCAGACATCACCGTATCTGCCTTCACCTCCCTCACAGAGCTCCTCAGGGGGCAAAGCAGACTCATGCGCCCCTTGTAGAGCACCTCCTGGAGGAGCAGAAACCACGCGCCCACACCCGTCACCCCCACCAAGCGGGCGTGGGCAGGGACCCGCTGTGAGAGGAAAACAGGAGTGCGCCCCCAGGATTGCAGGCAGCAAGTTGGTGTCCCCAGGGCCACCCCACAAGCAGTCAGCCCTGCACGCTGCCCGCCAGCCCTGGGACCTCTGATCTCCGCGGCCTCAATGACGACTGAGTGCCCGATTGATAAAGCTCTGTGAGGGGGATGCCTGACTTCAGACAAGTGACCCTGGCGCATGGAGCCAGGGGGCTGGGCACACGGGGCTGCCACACGAGGCCCAAAGGCTCCCCCACCCCCACCCCAGCCGCAGGTCTGGTGGCAGCGTCCCAGCGGTACGGCTCTGCTTAGCTCCTAGGCCTCCATCTGCGCCCACAGCGAGTCGGTCACCAAACTTGCTACCCAACTTCCTGTCCTTGATCTTGGGAGCATGTGCTTTGCACCTTTGCATTATTAAAACATGAGAATGGTTGATGGGAGTTCTATTTGTTTTAAATGTTCTTGGCAAAATTTAAAAATAACCAAAAAACCAAATACGCCCAGTCACCCACTGTTTGTTTACCGCTGGGATGGGACCACGAGAGTGCGGGGTGAGGGCATGACGACCCCAGAGAGCGTGAGGCTGCTGAGACACTGACCACGTCCCCACATGGGTCAGCGTCCCAACAGCCAATGCCGCGCCTCCACCCTACACCTTATTTTCCGACAGAGAAGACACTCTTCTGTGGCCTCATCTCTTTCTTGGTATATTTCCTTTTTACTAAGACGTTACTCAGTGTTTTCATGTCTGGAGGCCCGTGACTAGCAGCAGAAACACACATGGACAAGTGGCGTCACATCATAACTGAAGTGGACGGAGGATGATGACACAAGAGTCCCACAGCACTGCTCCCCCTTGCTCAAGTCAAGCCTTTTTTTTTTTTTTTTAAACAGGCTCCACACCCAACACAGGGCTCAAACCCATGACCCTGAGATCGAGTTGACACTCCTCTGAGCCGGCCGGGCGCCCTGCATGAACTATTTTTTTAAAGCAAAGCATTTTTCTGGGAATGAGGGTCCCTGAACTTTTCACCTTCTTAAAAATACAAGGGTTCCCAAGGGTCCGTTTGCTCTACTCATCACTCCTGGCCCAGTCTTGTCATAGCTGTTCCCTAGACCAGATTTCGCAAGCCATTCCACATATCGCCCTCCTTCTTCCTGCTTTTGCACATCCGGTGTCCTCCCGTCCTGGTGCCCTCAGCACCTCCTCGCTCCTGCCTCCCTGGCAGGACTGTAAGGTTCCTGGTGGAGGCCCGGCTGCCACAATGAATGAGCAGCAGCGATCAGCTCCTTCGGAGATCAGCCTCCTCTGCAGCAGGCCTGACCCGCTAAGGTCTCCCAGCTGAAAATAGGGGAGGGGAACCCAAGAGAAAGGATGGTTCAGGACCCCCACCCCCAGACACACAGGAGATGGGAAGATGGTCCTCCGAGGCACAAAGTGGAAAACGGACGGAAAATACAGACAAGGACACGAGAAACACGCAGAGGACCGTGGATACATGACACACCTAACACGTGTCATGGGAGATAACAGGGTACAGGAGCAGCACTGGAAGAAATGACCAGAATTTCCCAACTCGGACAAAAGACATTAAGCCACAGGTCAAAATATCCTCACCAAAGCCAATGCAAAACCCCTATTGTCCAGGGCCTCCCAACCAGGGGCCATGGGCTCAGCCGACAACCCTGGGCTCTGTGTCAACCCAGCTGCTTGCAGGTGGCGGTGCCAAGGCGCCGGGGGACCCCTGTAAGTGGGTCAGTGTGCGCGCAGGGCTCGGCCTGAGACCAGATGGATGGGCCCAACCCACAAGCCACTATATCGTGTGGGAGGGAGTCTCCCAGGGCTGAGGCAGGGTTTTTCCTCATCTCCTAACCCACCGAGAACTGTCCCAAGCCAGGGCCTGCCGCAATAGAGGGCTTGTTGGGGAACAGCTGCAGGCCTCCCCCCATTCTGCTCCCTTGGACCACCGCACCCGGGCCCCACTCTCGCCAGGCGGCCAACAGCACTATGTGCGAGTGATGTATCTTGTGCATTTTAACTTTTTTTCCATAATATATTCTGGTTTTGTGGTTTTGTAATGTTTTAATCTTAAGGCTCTCCTTCCTGCCTGGTGTTCTCAGGAGCTTGATCGAGCTAGTGGGCAGCTCCAGTTTGGCACAGAATACTTGCTTTATCATCAGGGAGGACAACTACTTGGAGGGCAGAGTCTAAGCAACCACCTCATTTTTGCCAATCAGAGGACACTAGGGCTGAAAAGCCAGCTCTTGAAAGCCTGCCACCTGCCATGTTCCGTGGGAGACGAGGTATGAACTGGGTTGCCCCAGGACTTGATCCCCTTCTCTTGGAAGATGGGAGAGTGTTCTAAACAGAACAGGTGGTGCAGGAAGGCGAGGCGAGACTGCACTCGGGGAAAGGGGCAGAGGGGAAGACAGGACTGGCTGAGGGTCGTTTCTACGTGTAATAGAGGATTCCTGTTCTAGACTTCTGATCCCAGGGCCTGGGACTCCCTTCTTCTACCAGATCCATCCGTCGTGAGACTGGGCTGGGCCTACGATGCACAACAGGTGCGTGCGTGCATTTTAAAAATGCAGGGATAAGGACAGGTTTCAGAACAATACCTCTGGACCCATCTCAAGCTGCCCAGGGATGGGTGTCTGAGGCAAAGGCAACATGTTTTAACCTTTGTGAATTCTGGGCTTTTCTCATTGGCTTCTAGAGACCATAAGCCATGGCTTCTCTGTGGTGCCCAGAGCCAGTGTCCCGCCCTGCTGTGGCCGTGAGGAGTGTCATGGGGGCTAAAGGAGAAAAGGAGATTCCGTTCACATGCCAGGACGGCCCCACAAACCTACCTCACTGTGCTGGAAGGGGGCAAACCCAACAGAGTGCCTCGGGTGACATGCATCTGATCCCGGGCTGTCTCCCCCCAGTTGCTGCCTGCTCCAGTGATCGTATTTGTGGGGGCTTTGTAGGACTTCACAAATATGTGTTGGTCTTCTCCATATTCTTTTGAGGTTTTACCGTTTATAAACTTTTTTGTATTGAGAAAAATAGCCAGAGCATCTTTGACAAAAGGTTCTGCACCAGGAAAAGAATCTGGACCACAGCTCAGTGACCCCTCTTGAAGTGTGGGGGTCCTGAACCATCCTTTCTCTTGGGTTCCCCTCCCCTATTTTCGGCCAGATCTTCTGTCCTAAACACTTGACTTCCATTCCCTCTCCTATTGCCCCTCCCCAAAAAAAGCCCCCTCACTCTCTCTCTCTCTCACATACACACACACACACACACACACACTTAAATCCTGAAGAAGCTAAGAACACTCCAACCTCTGTTCCCAATCTCCTGTGTCAAGACCATTCCTTGCTGTGATTCGTACTAACACACTTGTACTGGGATGGATCAAACCTACTTTAATCTCTAATCTTAGGGGAGAGAGAAGCAGAAGGAATGGGGGGGCGGGCAGCGGGCCTTCCACGTACAAAGTAGGGCTGGGGGACCGAGACTGGGAAGATGAACATACATCCACGTCACTCAGGAATTTCCACACAGGTGCAAGAAACATGTCAAAGTGGCAACAAGATCGTTTAACAGGAGACGGACGAGTGCAGCTCCATGCTAACCACCAGAAACCACACCTTTGTGTGCAATCTTGAATTTACAGGGCAGGTGGAGGGGAGCGAGGAAAGCCTGTAACTCTGCTCTTTCCCCGATCCCCCCCTTTCTGAGCTGCAGGACATTGAGTCCCCGTGGGCTTGAGTGACTCCTCCTCCAAGCACTGTTTACTGGGTGGTTGATTCTGCTGTGCTGGGTACTTCCTTTCCCACTTGCTAGTGTTTGTAACACATACGCTGACCCTTTTCCCTTCTCTCTTTACCCTGGGAAAGTACAATGAATAAAAAAAATTTATTGGTTCTAGAAAAAAAAAAAAAGAAGCCCCTATTTTAATAAGAGAAACCTAAGTAGGGCCCAAGATCACAAGGAAGCCGGGCTGGAATTATAACCCACTACTGTGATGACCTGAAGCCCAGTTCTGACCCCAAACCCAGACTCTGATCCCATCTTTCATATCACTCCTTAACAGGACCTAATATCCACAGACCGCACTGCTCACAACATCTCAGTCATAATGCCCCCCGAGCCAAAGTGGACCCAGGACTCCCACCCCCTCCACGTCCACCAACTGAATACCCACCACTGACCTTCTCAAGGGCGAGCCTGCCTCCCGGGCGGTCTGGAGTAATCCCTTTCCTTCATGCCCCCCTGCAAAAAATCCCTACACCCGTCGGTCCACACTGCACCCCCATGAGGGGAAAAAGGTCAGAAGTGTATTCTAGAAGAACAAAGCAGGAGCGTTACCTCACTCTGTTCAGACAACGACCCACCGGTAAACCACACCCTTCGCAATACGCGAACAACACACATAAGCAGGATGTTTGTAGCTCTGGAGAAAAAAAAACAAACGTTTTTTTGCAACACGTACAGCTCTAAGAATCTATGGTATTAATTCTGATATTCTATTCAATTCTACTCTATTTGTTTTTTAAGTGCCGGTCCTGACCCACTAAGTTGATTTCACACTGGCTGAAGAGCGTGACAATTTCAGGTTGAGGTTGAAGGCCCAGAACTGCCATCTGGAGCCAGAACAGCACATTCTTCCCAGACCTGGCTGCTCCCTGCCGAGACCCTCCCCCCTCAAAGCCCGACACAGGAGCTGACAAGCCCTGGGCAAACCTCTAGCGTGCGCCCCGAGGATGGCTCCAGGCCCCGGGCGGCTGTGAGCAGGGGCTCCGGTGGCTTCTAAGAGCACAGAGCACCTGCTCACCCTGACCCCAGACCAGGCGGCGTCTGGCCCGCTGGGAGCCCTGCACCCCACAGACCTTCCCCCATAACCCCTCCCACTCTGCTCATCTGCCTTGACCCCAGCCCCAAGGGCCTGGTTCCTGCCCCTCTCCCCAGTAATTCCCGGCATTCCGTCAAATTCAGTTTACCACCACAACCTTCTTTCTGACCACTCTTCCCAAACAGACCCTCTACTAGCCTCATCCCTACCCCAAGAGGATTACTCCACTCCAAACCCGTGGGTCAAGCGAAACCTCTGTGCTGAGCCCCCTCTGGAGCAGAGGGAAGCAGGCTGCAGAGAGAGAGACCACAGAGTGAGAGGGGACGGCTCCAGACTCAAACTCATGGGGGAGAGGAGCGGGCCTCCACGCAACACTTCAGTAATCAACGCACCCACCCAGCAGCCTCTGTGCGAAGCAGGGACGTGCCCAGGCTCCTGCCGAGTAAGGACCCACGGAGGCCGCCAGAGCTCGGATTCTCAAACTCATCCCGGGAGTGGCGTCCCAGGCAGTTACAATGTTCTGTGAGGCACTGATTGAATGCAAGCCCACAAAAGGAAATAAAGCCATAACTGTGTCCTAAAACGCAGCGGGGGTACTTTAGGCTGGACTCTGGAACAGCTAAGTAGCAGCAGATGCCAAATCTGAAGATAGCAATGATGGAACAAAAGCTTCGAGAAAGTTCCATCCAATGAACGTAGTGGGCTCTGCACATGGGGAAGCCCGGCTTCACTTGGTGTCACTCGGTGTCAGAGCCCACACATGGGTCCAGCTCCAAGGGCCAGGCTATCGGGGGCGGGGGGGTGGATAGGGCACAGAGCCAACCCCAAACGAGGAGCAGGATGTCATCTCTGGGAGAAGAGGCTGCAGAGCACAGCGTGCATGACGGCCGGTACACTGGAGGGACACTTAGAAGCCCACACGAGCCAAACGCGAGGCAAGCAGGTCACGGCTCAGACACACACAGTGACCTGCATCTTGCTCGGGAATGGAAAGGACAACGTGAGGTCATAAAAGCAGGTACAAGTGCTTCACTCCAAAATTACCTTTCAACTCAGCACAGGTGTACTGGACACAGAATTACTCAAAGCTCCAATGAAAAGGACAGAGCTCCCAACCACACAGACTTTGTGACAGCAACTCAAGGCCCCAGCACCTCGTGAGCCCTCCACTGACACCCTGCCAGCCTGTGGGGGTCCAGCCCACGAGTCCCTGCGAAGCCGGTCAGGGGCAAAAACCACTCCGGGAGCTCACCAGCCTTGTGAGGAATGTCGGCTCACTGCCCGGCCCCTCCTGGCAGCAGGACTCAGCGGCAGGAGGAAAAGGCTGGTGCCACAGACACGATCCCCCAAGTGTGGCCACGCTCACCCCCGGGGGTGAGCAGAGGCAGAGCGGAATCCCGTCACTGGATCATCCCCCAGGGAGAAGGGTCAGGAGCAGCTCAGGCAGGCGCTGATGGCCTCCACGGGACACCTCAGGTCCCCACCCTCTCCCACCTCCATGCGGGCCCCACGGTGGTCCCAGCTTCACTTGGCCAGGGCTGGCGGGCCAGGACAGGTGAGGCAGCACAGGCGCACACAGCCACCTTACCTCCGAAGTTGGCCAGCCGCCCAATCCGTGTAACTGGCACCTTCCGCTCCCGAGCATGCTCGCTGAGCTAGAGGGAGCAAGGAAAGAGACCTCACGGAATCGGCAAATGGGGACAGGACCAGCCTCTGTAGGGGTTCACGTGGCCCCCCACAGCCCCGCTCCACCCCCAAAAGTGGCTGCTCCACCTGGCAGCTTAGTCCACCAAAAGGGGGCCTGTGTCCCTGAAAACGCCAGACCACAGCATCCGGAGAATGTCCCCAGAGGAGGGCCTGACACCAGCACCACCAGGAGCGGCAGCCAACCCAGCCCCACTCCACCAGGCCCTCCAGGACGCACCATCTGCTTGTGGGGCTTGCTCTCGGGGCGAGCCTTGGCCTGCCGGGCCTTCTCAATGTCCTCCGTGGTGAGGCCCCCCACGGGGGGCTGGTCCTGGTGGAAGAACCTTCGTGGAAGGCTCATGGTAGAAAGTGGGTGTCTGGGGTCTCCAAAGAGCCTCCCGGTGACGGTGCCCAGAGGGGAGGTGGCCTGGCCTGAGAGCCCAGCTTCCCTAAAGGGTCCACTGGTCACGTAGGCAGGAGCCGGGCCCTCATTGCCAGTGTGATCCCAGGATGGAGGGGGTGACCAGTCAGGGAAGGAGGCTGCAGAGAAATCTGTGCGAGCCCCCACAGTCTGAGGCCCAGAGAACTCTGCTTCCGGGTCTTCGAAGTTCTCGGCATAAGGCTCCTCGCGCTTTTCCTGACCCTGTGGGGAGCAAAAGCCAGCATGAGCAGAGCAAAAGGCCTGCCTGGGCCTCCTCCCTGTGTCCACCCCCACCCCCTGCACAGGGAGCCACACGTTCCACCAGGAAGGCGGCCCTCAGCCAGATCTGCAGGGGAGCACCTTCCCAGCCCGAAGCCAGGAGACCCAGGTTCGGCCCTGCTCCTGAGAGGCCCCACTCTGTGGTTCCAGGGAAGCCGGACAATCACAGAGCACCTGCTGGAAGCCTCGCCAGGCCCGGGGGAGTGACCGCCACACTACAGGCAGCAAGTTCCTCATCTGTAAATCAGGACTTTGGGGAGTGAGCCAGGCCAGCAGACAGCTCGGAGAAGTAAAAGGCCAACCAGACCAGCGAGGGCCACTTGCCGACAGGACTGACCCGCCACACCAGGCCAGCACCTCACCTCTGGCCCTTCCTCTAAGAGGCTCTCATGAGGGCTGGCCTGCCGTCCCTGGGAGCTGGGGGTACAGGGACAGGCCAGGAGGGAAGTGCCACGCTTTCTCTGTAATGGTCACACAGACCCCAACTGCAGGCCCAGGTTCCTGCTGCATTCAAACCCTGAGTGACCTTGAGCCAGTTCCTGCCCCCTCTCTGCCACCTCATCTGGAAATAGAGCTGTGTGGGCCGCAGACAGGCCGGGGGAATGGCGCTGCTCCTGAGGCCGCAGGGGTGGGCTCGGGGCACACACGCGGCGCCTGCGGGCGCTGCAAACCAGCAGCAGCCCCACAGCTTCCTCACCGCGGCTTGGGGTCCAAGGAGGGACTTGCCCTCCAGGGGAAAAAAGAGACTGGCCGTCACTGTCATTTCATCAAGGGGACACTGAGGCTGGGAGAACTGGTAAAAGCCTGGCAGAGCCTGGACCGCTGGCCCTGCTGAACCTCGGCTCCATGCACAAGCGACCCGCACTTGAATTTGGCAAGCACATGTCAGGTGCCGGGGACGTGTTGTGTGCCGGGGACGTGCCAGAACCAGGGAAGCCGGGAGGGCTCATGGGAGGGCCCATGGGAGCCCCGTGGGGCCTCCTGCTGCCCCAGAACTCGTAGCCACGGCCCCCTGGCCCTGCGTGACCTGAGGGACCCCAAGCTCAGTGAGCAAGTGAACGAAGCCCTTGAAGGTGTGGAGGGAGAGACATTTCTGGATTATGTGGCCTCCGTCCCCTCGGAGAGGAGGAGGCCCCAATGATCTAAGTTTTAGGGAAAGAACAGGAGCACACGAAGGCCCCTCACCCTGCTCAGTGCCTCCTTCGTGGTGGGACCCACACTCCCTCCTCCCTCCGAGGACCCTGCTGGAGATGCCCTGGCCTGTCCCCCCACTCGCCTCTCAGAAGGTTCCCCAGGCCTGGCACACTCTCACTTGCCGGTGTTTCACAGACAAGACACCCACCAGGAAGGGGATGGCTCCGAACCAGGAAGGCACCTGGGAATCACTCAGAAGTCAAGGACCAGTCTCCCCATCTAAGAAGGGGTGATGCCCAGGACAGCAGCCAGGCTGGGGGCGGCATCATGGGGTTGAGACTTCTACAAGTTAAAGGCATTTCCATAGAGTGACAGAGAGGTGGTGTCACCACCAGACCCTTAGGGAACAGAAGGGGAGGGGTTGGGAATCCTAAAACCTGACCAGAGGCCTGGAGGCGGTGACAGCCTCCTAGCAGGGCACCATCTGCATCTTGTGCCCGTGCCCCCTTCCCACCCTCTCGGGCTCCCAGGAACGGGGCAGGCGGCTCGCACGGTGACACCCAGGTGGGACGGTGCTCTGCCCTCCGCTGTGGCAAACCCTGTTGACAGCTGCCTCTCCGCACACACGCGTGCTTTGGACCCTCCCACTGGGCCAGGGGCTTGGAACAGGGCAGGAGGGCGAGGGAGGCAGGTGGTGAAGCTGCGCCAGCGCTCCCCGGAAAGGAGCCGAGCCCCCGAGTCCACGCCCGGAGCCCCGCGTAAATGAAGCTGGGAGTGCGACCCTGGCTCGGCTGGCACGTCAGTAAGGACCCTGGGCACACAGGCTCCGGAACAGCTTGACACCGCGGCGTAACGCCCAGGGACACACGCACGCTCAGCCTACACACAGGGTACCTTCTGCCACGTTTGTACCAAAACCGACCCGACAAGAAAGATAAATCAGATCAACAGTGGAGAAGGTGCTCAGGCTCTTAAAGAAACTGTTTCAGGGAAGGAAACACAGGCTCCCGGCAGCTGCCTCCCTAAGAACAAAGGTGGATGCTGCTTTGTTTTTTAATTTCTGAAATTAAAAAGGCCTCTGTTGACGACGGACTCTGAAAAACAAACTGAGGGTTCTAGAGGGGAGGGGGGTGGGAGGATGGGTTAGCCTGGTGATGGGTATTGAGGAGGGCAATTCTGCATGGAGCACTGGGTGTTATGCACAAACAATGAATCGTGGAACACTACCTCTAAAACTAATGATGTAATGTATGGGGATTAACATAACAATAAAAAAAAAAGGCCTCTGTTGAGCACATTCAGTAGAGGCCCAGGAACAGAGGGCCAGGTGGGGGGTGGGGAGCAGGATGGGACTGGGCCAGCAGAGTGTGGCCTGTGCCCCAGGGCCAGTGAACTGGGGCCTGGGCCACTGGTTCCCGGGGGCTGTCCCAGCTTCGTGAGGCTTCCTGAGCGACAACTTGAGTCAGAGGGCTACAGCCCCACGCCGGGACCCCACCACACCCAGAAGGACAGCAGGTCCCCTGAGCCAACCCCCAGGCTGCGTCCTGATTTGCCCCCCCCCCCGGCCTCGATGAGAGCTCCAGGCCAGCCCCTCCTGACGCCCCCTCCCGATGGCCTCCTTACCTGCACCTTCCCCAAGACCAAGCCCATCTGCTCTGCAGCTGTGGACTGCAGGGCCCTGGCCACCACGAGGAGCTCCCCACCGAGGCCCAGGCGTTGCAGGTGGGTCTCCACGGCCACCTGGGTCAGCTTGGCAAGGCCTCTGACCAGCATGATGGTGTCCCCCAGCATGGCAGCCATCCTGGAGGGCTGCAAGAGAACAGGCCAGTCAGGGGGTGCTCTACACTCACACAGAGCAGCTCCACCCCGAGGTCTGGGTAGAGGCATTGGGAGGTCTGGTTCTTCCACCAGACCCCCTCTGATACAGGCTGACTGAGAGACAGGACAGCGAGGGAGGGCCAGGGCTCAAGGTCGGCCCTGGGTGGCCTCCCACCCTGTCCTGCCCAGGCATGGAGCAGAACCAAAGGCTCTGTGGAGCCAGGGCTGGGGGCCTCACAGCCACCTCGTGAGACACCGAGGTGTGGAGGGGTGAAGTGAGTAGCCCAAGTGGCAGAAGGGGGACGCGAAGCCAGATGCCCTGATTTTAGTCCAGTGCTCTTTTCCCTGGACCCAAACTTGGTTGGGGAGGGAGCGTCCGCTCCAGAAGCGCCTCCCTCTAGGGCCCAGGGCGCCCCAACCCAACGACCCCAGCCCCTTAGAGGCTGCCCGTCCCCACCCAGCTGCCCCTGCTCTGCCTGGGAGGGCCTCTGACAGACACCCACAGGCCCAGGGATGTGCAGAGGCCCCACCCCACCCTCAGGCTCCACGAGTTCCCAAGCCGTGTGGTTTGCAAACCGCAGTCCAGTGCCATCCATCTGGGAAGTCCCAACCGGCACGAAAACCAAGAGGAGCAGGATGCGGGACAGCCAGGGAAGCATCAGAGCACACTGTGGGTGGGACTCTCTCCTGATACTTGTTTTCCCTGTGTGCACCTGTACTTTTCCCTCCACTCGGTCACAGTGTAAAATGTGTTTCTTCATGTCGGTCAGGGCCATAGAGGCAGAAAGCACTGTACCCAGCACTGCCTCCCAGGGGAGCATGTGCGGCCAGTCCCCCAAGTATCTCCTACAGCCTACATGGGACTGCATGCTGGGAGGGGCAGGATAGGGTCCCAGGGACATGCTGGGGCTGAAGAAAACCCACAGAAAGAAAGGGAGCAGCAGGGGCCCCAGAGAAGCAGCCAGGGAGCACTCTGGCCAAGGCAGGGAGGAACTGGGACCCACTATGAGGAGGGGCGAGGCTGTGGGGGGAAGCCCGGGAAGGCCAGGTACACCCTGGATGCAGGGCCTGGGCCAGCAGCAGGGAGGCTGCGGGCACACAGATGCCTGCAGACTCCGAATTCTCCTCATACGAGGGAAGGGAGGCGCCAACTCTGAAGACCTCAACCACAGCTCCAGGGGCTTCTGAAGACGGCTGGCTCCCTCCCACCTACCCGACACAGGGGAGTAGCCCGGGTCGGCCC